AAGTATGTTACAGACATTTCATGAAGACCCTAAAGAATCATACCAGCTTGTTAAAAATGGGCATCCGATGTCCCCTTTAACGTCCACACCAATGGATGTTTATTATAAGTGTAGCTGTAATGCTGAAGTAATGCTCAAGCACTTTAAAGTGGTGGACTCTAGTTAACATTATAGTTATCATATTTGGTATGAATGCCCATTTATACATGGTGAAGTGATTGGATTGTGAAAAGTGGACGTTCCATTCCAGAATGAAGCCAGATCTGACTGTAAGTTTGAATGTGGTCTAGCAAGCATGACTCTGTTAGCCTCTGAACTACACCATCTGGAACATCTTTCTCTTTTGACAGCCATTATAAAATTGTATATTTGATCCCCCCATTTGCTAAATTTCTATCCTTGGGTGGCATTAATTACACACAGTAGTCGCCAACAATGGATACTTTGCTCTGCACTTAGGAATACAAAGGAATAGTCATTTCATGTCAAGTTCACTAGCATTCTCGAATCTCAAAAACACGCTGCAGATAAACCAGGCACTGCAGTCTTAGAGCAGTCAAGGAAAGATATATGTAGAAAGCAGCAGAGAGACTGAGGATGACAGATGACACTAACCTCACATATTGGAAATATTCAGGACTCTGATTGCGGTAGAAGACGGAGAACCTGAGCATCCTCCCAGCAGCGGCCTGAGCTTTATCTAACAGCTGCTGGAGATGCTCCATGGCATAATCTGCAGAGAAGAACCCATTTAAAACCATTACTAATGAACATAAACATAAATGCTTCCTATATAGCACTGATGGCAGTAATTATGACACCGAAGGCAAGAAGACACAAGGAAGATGTGTCACGATTGTGTCTTCTATCTGAGCATGATATGCAGAGTCAACAATAAATAAGCCATTTGTTCATGATTTTTTTAGCATTAGCATTCAATGACAAATTCGTGACATGAAGATTAAGTTAAGATAATCATGACACTTCATACAGTGTGCTGTAGTGTGTAATTTGATGGTTGTTTCCGGACAGGTTTCCCCAAATAGTCCTCCTGTTTATTTATTGGTTGGACAAAACTAGCCCCTCCCCCAAACTCACACCATTGGTTGAGCCTGTTGCTGTGTTGGGCTGCTTAAACAAACAGACCAATGATTTGACAGAGTCACAATGTTTACTCCTTTTTAATGGAATCAACTCAGAAATATCCTTTTGTCAGTTGTCTTTGTATATTAAGCTGGCACGGGAGGAGGTATTTTAACAATAAAAACACATTTAACTCTCTGTTACTCCGTCTCTGCTTACCCCCAGTGCAGAACTCCACTACTTGGCTCCATTCAGACACCTGATAGTCTCCGTCTGGCTGTCTGATGGCGGTCTGCACAGCGACACAGTACTCCGTTCGAGGGCTCAGGAACCAGTGGCCTCTCACAGCCATCGGCAAAGGTCCTGCTTTTGCCACTAGCTTGGTGGGGACATCCTGGAAAGCCAAACACCAGAGGGCGCTGATAGTTAATTGTTGGTTTACAGG